ACAAAGCTCAATACTTTTCAATGATAAAAGTTTTTTCCAAGATTCTGACTTGATATATGTGCGTAGATCTGTAGTCTAGAGAGACAACTATATTCACTGATAACAAAGGGATGTGCGGTGTAGTTTGCTTACATATGAGACAACAATCACTCATGCGCGTGTAAACTTTTCATATTGTCTTTGATTGCTTTAGGAGGTATTATGTCGCTCCTTGAGATACAAGTATGACTGAAATGCTCTCTGATTTTTGAAGCGTGAATAGATCATTTTTGTGGCATTATAAAAGTTAAATTTCTTCATGCAACTGGATCTTGTAATTATGGTCCAGATTATAAAAAATGTTGATCTTGAAGAATTACGGGAATTAGGATCTGGTACATATGGTGTTGAATTGTAATTTTGTCTTGACCCAAAGATAATGGATCCAGCCCATGCACAAAGAAATATCCATGCACATTTTAGAGAATTCTAGCAAAGTTCAAGTTGGTGGAAGAGTCTAGAAGAATGGTGAGGATTCCATCAACATACAAGTTTAGTGTAGATAATTCTAGCTTAGGAAGGTAGTGGAATTATCTAGATATCTTTAGCAAGATGCTTCCATGCTTCTCCAAGGTTCCATCCATGCCTATAAAAGGAGAAGGCATCCACACCGTTTGTAACATCCAAGAGAGCAAGTAGTGAGAAGTGAGAATGCCAAGTGAGAAGTGAGAAGAAGCAACAAAGCTTCTAAGAGTGTTTGAGTGTTTCCTCTTGTACTAAGCTTGTGAGTGAATAAAAATTTTGTGTAATACTTTGAGTATTCTTTCTTTCTCTTGCCTATCAATTCTGCTGCGTTACATTTTCCTTTGTGAGATAAACAACTCCAAAGTAGTGAAGTCTTTTTAAGCCCCAACAAAGCGGTACCAGAGCTATGGCTAGCAATGTTATGGCAGCCTTCCAAGTTCCAATACTCGACAACAAAGAGAGACAAGAAAGCTCGCTACCTCATCTACCAAGCATTAGATGACAATGGCTTTGAGAAGGTCTCGAGTGCAACCTCTGCCAAGCAAGCATGGGAGAAGCTTCAAACCTCTTACAAAGAAGCCGAACAAGTGAAAAAGGTTCGTCTTCAAGTATTAAGAGGTGAGTTCGAATCTGTACAAATGAAAGGGTCTGAATCAATCTCTGATTATTTCTCAAAAGTCTTAGCCGTTTCCAATCAATTAAAAAGAAATGGAGAAAAGTTAGAAGATGTTAGAATTATGGAGAAGATACTATGCTCGTTGGACCCCAAGTTCGAGCACATTGTCGTGACGATTAAAGAAACTAAAAACTTGGAAGAAATTAGTATAGAGCAAATAATGGGTTCACTACAAGCATATGAAGAGAAACATAAGAAGAGGCATGGGAATGATGAGCAGCTCCTCAAGACGCATGTCTAGCCAAAGAAAAAAGAAGAAAGCTTCGACAACGAGATAAGCCAGTATGGAAGAAGTTGTGGTCAAGGTCGCGGACATGGACATGGACATGGACGTGGTTGGAACTTCAACAACCATAGCAACTACGAAAGATAAGGAAGCTCAACAAAAGGTCGTGGAAGAGGAAGCTCAAACTTGAGGTATGAAAAATATCAAGTTCAATGCTACAATTGTCAAAAGTTTGGGCATTATGCTTGGGAATGTAAAGCTTCAAGCAACAGACCTGATGAAAAGGTTAATTATGTGAAAGAAGAGAGAGAAGATAATGGCGTTGTGCTACTAGCATGTAAGAACAATGATGGAGACCAAGACTATACATGGTACCTTGACAGCGACGCCAACAACCACATGTGCGGAAGAAGAAGCATGTTCGTAGAACTCAATGAATCGGTGAGTGACAACGTTTCTTTTGGAGACGAATCCAAAATACCCGTCAAGGGAAAATGTAACATCCTAATTCTCCTGAAAAGTGGCGGTCACCAATTAATTTCAAATGTCTACTACGTGCCCAATATGAAAAGTAACATTTTGAGTTTGGGTCAACTTTTAAAAAAAGGTTATGATATTCACATGAAAAATTATAGCCTTTTTTCTTAGAGATGACAAAGGAAGATTAATTGCCAAGGTGAAAATGTCAAAGAATAGGATGTTTCCTATGAATATTCAAAATGATGTTGCAAAGTGCCTCAAAACATGTTACAAAGACACATCCTGGCTTTGGCATCTTCGTTTTGGGCATCGTAACTTTGGGGGACTGGAGTTATTATCCAAGAAGGAGATGGTGAGAGGCTTATCGTGCATCAGCCACCCTGATCAAGTTTGCAAAGGATGTTTACTTGGGAAACAGTTCATAAAAAGCTTTCCAAAATAGTCGACCCTAAGAACCCAGAAGCCACTCGAGCTCATTCACATCGATGTGTGCGTTCCAATAAAACCAAGCTCTTTGGGTAAAAATAATTATTTCCTTCTCTTCATTGATGATTTTTCAAGGAAAACCTGGGTTTATTTCTTGAAGTAGAAATCAAAGGTATTTGGAGCATTCAAGAAGTTCAAAGCCGCTGTAAAAAAAAGAAAGTGGTTGCAAGATCAAAGCCATGAGATCTGATCGAGGAGGAGAATTCACTTTAAAGGAATTTCAAGAATTCTGTGAACCTAATGGAATTCGTCAACTTTTGATAGTTCCAAGATCCCCTCAACAAAATGGTGTGGCGGAAATAAAAAATCAAACCATCCTCGACATGGCTCGAAGCATGCTCAAAGTAAGAGATTGCCTAAGGAGTTGTGGGCAGAAGCTGTAGCATGTGCTGTCTACCTATCCAATCGGTTTCCAACAAGAAGTGTGGGGAAAGACTCCGCAAGAAGCATAGAGTGGAAGAAAACCATGTATTTCCCATCTAAGAGTTTTTGGAAGCATAGCCCACGTACATGTACTAGACGAAAGGAGAACCAAAATTGACGATAAAAGTGAGAAGTTCATCTTCATCGGCTATGACTCAAATTCAAAAGGCTATAACTTGTATAATCCGAACAATGGGAAGACGGTGATCAGTCGAGACGTGACATTCGACGAAGAAGGAGAATGGGATTTTGGCTCTCATGCAAGTGATCTCAGCTTCTTTCCTCAGTTTGAAGAAGAGAATGAACAAAGGATGATGGAGTAAGTAAGAGAGGTTCAACAAGAATCCACTACTCCACCTGCTTCACCAACATCAACCAATCATGGTAATTCACCAACATCAGCATCGTCAAGTAGGAGTCTAAATGAAAGAGAAGTACCACGCACAAGAAGTATACAAGATCTCTATGAGGTAGTTGAAAGACTTGATAATCCTACACTTTTCTGTCTCTTTGCTTATTGTGAACCAGTCGACTTCCAAGAAGCAGTACAAGATACTAAGCGGAGGAAAGCAATGGATGAAGAAATTGAAGCAATCCAGAAGAATGATACATGGGAACTCGCTATTCTTCCGAAAGGCCACAAAGCCATCAGAGTCAAGTGGGTGTACAAGACAAAGAAAAATGCCAACATAGAGGTCGAAAGATACAAGGCGAGACTAGTGGCGAAGGGCTATAGTCAAAAAGCCGAAATCGACTATGATGAGGTATTTGCACCCGTTGCTCGCTTGGAAATTTTATGATTACTAATTCCTTTGGCAACTCAAAACAAATGGAAGATTCAACAAATGGATGTGAAGTCCGCTTTCCTAAATGGAGTCCTTGAAGAAGATGTCTACATTCAACCCGTCATGCTATGAAATCAAAGGGCATGAAGACAAAGTTCTAAAGCTGAAAAAAGCCTTTTATGGGTTAAAATAAGCACCACGAGCATGGAATAGTCGCATTGACAAGTACTTTTAGGAGAACAACTTCATCAAGTGCCCCCATGAACATGCTCTCTACATCAAAGTCAAAGATGAAGATATTCTGATTATGTGCTTATATGTGGATGATCTAATCTTCACAAGAAATAATCCAAACATGTTTGAAGAGTTCAAGAGAGTGATGACCAAAAAATTCGAGATGACCGACATCAGGTTGATGGCATACTACCTAGGCATTGAAGTCAAGCAGAACGAAGAAGACATTTTCATCTTCCAAGAAAGCTACACAAAAGAGATACTGAAAAAGTTCAAAATGGACGACTGCAAGCTCATAAGCACGCCAGTAGAGTGCGGAGTCAAACGAACCAAGCATGACAAAGGAGAAAGCGTAGATTCAACATTTTTCGAAAGTCTATTTGGAAGCTTGCGCTACTTGACTTGCAATAGTCTACGAAAAGTCTCACCTTGAGAGAGTTTCCTTAACATTTCTCTACATAGGTTTTTATTTTTTGAAAATTAAAAAGTATGGAAAAAGAAAAAAAGATGTGTGTAAATCATTTTCGAAAGAGAAAATTGTATCAATGGTCCCTCAATTTTAACCCAATTTGAGCAATTGTCCATCAACTAAAAATTTGTGACCAATGGTCCCTTAACTCCTCAAAACATGCAGCTATGATCATTTTCGTCAACTCCGTCAAAACTTCCATCAAAATGAGTCGTGTTGGAAGAATTATTGCTACAATTAGGTTAAATTTCAGGGATTATTGCTCTAATTAGGTTAAAGGTGAAGGACCATATTTGCCCCTCATGCATAGCATGTGACTCATTTTGACGGAAGTTTTAATGGAGTTGAGGAAATTGACTATACCTACACGTTTTGATGAGTTAAATGACTAATGATCATATATTTTTAGTTGATGGACCATTGTTACAATTTTCTCTTTCCGAAAAGAACAATAATGGGTTTCAGTGAAAAACGTGGGAGTTGCAAGTGGCTTTTTACCACAATGATGGAAAAGAGTTGAGGCTTTGCATGACGACGTAGATTCAAACTCGTTAATGGCTAATCTAGCATATAATTTAACAAAATCTATTTTTTAACAAACAAAATAAAAAAACGTGGGAGTTGGTTCCTTATTTTCCGAAAAGAGATCCAACAACAATAAATGGATATATTTATATTATTGTGATTGGTTCTTCTCCTGGTCTTCTGCAGTGGAGTATAATATATCAAATATCAGTGCCCTTATTTCACAACTTGACTTAAGTGGGTTGGGTCTCTTGGTCAAATTTTTACTGGAAATTTCAGAGGTCGACTTCATTAACCATAATTCGTATAAAATCCCACATACCATTGCATATGTTTTTGCTTCTCCAAAACTTGTGATTGATTAGCTTTATGCAAATTCCATTTTCTAGAGAGAGAAAGAGGAGAGAGAGAGAGATGGATAAAGCAATGAACAGACAGAGGGTTCTGCAGCATTTGAGACCCAATTCTTCTGTTTCTTCTTCCAGTTATGAATCTGCTGCTCTTTCTGTAAGTTATATCCACTTTCTTTTCCGTTGACTTCTTCATTTTTGTAAATATTTTTGTTTTATGTTATTTTTAGTTTCATTTTAGGGGATGTATTCAATTGAGATTTTGAGAGATTTTAATTCTTTTAATGAATATAGGGGTATTCAATTAGGATTTTAAATGATTCTCTGAAATTCAATGTGTATTCAATCAAGATTTGAAGATAATTTATTAAAATCCTTAGAAATCCGGGTGTATTCAATTAGAATTTTAAAGAAATTTATAACATTTCAGGTGTATTCAATTAGAATTAGAATTTAAAGAATTTGGAAAAGTTGAGGAATTAAAGGGAATTAGAGAGATTTTGTAGTATATTTTAAGCATTCATAAATCTTACATCTTTCTATGAGATTTCGAGGGAATTGAATTAAAATTTTACATAGAATCTCTACAAATCAGTTAAACTCCATAAAAATCTATGAATTTATAAATCCATAAAAATCTCACAAATTCCCAATTGAATACACCCCCTTAATTTGTTTCTTCATTGTTTTGTTGGGCTTCAATATGTGCAGCTGGAGATAGTGCTGCCTACCATAGAACAGCTGCTTTTGGAGACGATGTAGTGATTGTGGCTTGAGTGATTCAAACTGACTGATAAAGTTATTTAATTTTTGCTACTTTTTGTGTCTTTGTATAAAATTTATAGCAAAGTTTATAACTTTATAGCTTTTCTGTATTAAATCTTGCTGTAAAATCATGTTAAATAGAGCGTATCGGACTGCCATTTCCAGGCAAAGCAAGGCGGTTTTAAGGATACTTTACCTGATGCTTTACTGGCACCTGTTTTAAAGGTTTGATACAATTCCTGAATTCCCATATCAATTCCAGGGGAAATGAATGTGTTTCTTCAAATTATGAATGTATCATTGCAAGTAGAGTAATCTTCCTGTACTCGGCTCTCTTCTACCAGTTCCAAGTTTGTGGCCATCTCTTTACTGTTCTGCTTAATGCTTGGCAGTAGAGTGTTGATGCTTTGCACGATGATGTTGGGAGGAATGATTGCTTCCGAACCAAATGCCAAAGAGAAAGGAGTCTCATTGGTCGCTCATCTTTTGGTGGTGCGATATGCCCATAAACATCCGGGGAGTTCATTTGGCCATTTTCCCTTTTTGTCGGTGAGGGATTTCTTGAGGCAGTCGAGGATCGTCTTGTTTGATGTTTGGAGGCCTTTTTTTGTATTAACTTTAGCTTATAGTGTTATGGTTCCCATCAGAACAGTCAACAGGCAATGTTCATCAGGCCTTGAGGCAGTTGCTGATGTAGCTGCTTCTATAAAAGCAGGATATTATGATATCAGTGAGAAAATACTCTTGATTATCCATCTATTCTAGCTGCTAGGTGTTCTCCATCAGTGGACTTGATCTTTATTTTGAATACGGGCATTGCTGCTGGATTGGAGTCCAGGACGGTTGATAAACTTGACAGATTCCGTAAAATTAACCCTAAAGTATATTCCAACTCTCTTTGTTTACTAGATATTTGTTTTACATTAAGAAAAAGAATGTTCTTTTGAACTGATATATCGTATATGTTGTCATTAGGTGGATATCTTTGCACAAGCCCACAACTGCCTTCTTGCTGTGGGCATTACTTCTGAAAATGTTGCCCAACGTTATGGTGTGACTCAGAAGGAGCAGGACAGAGCTGCTGCGAGTTTTTTTATCTGTTATAACATCTATTAACTGTTGGATAAACCGGTAATGCTGAAGCTGTAATTTAATGAATTATGTGAGTAGGTTGAATCACATAGGCATGCTGCTGCAGCTTCCGCATCTGGTAAATTCAAAGATGAAATTGTCCCTGTATCAACTAAGATAAGTATAAAAATGTTCCCCGTTTAGTTTGTGGAAAGTCTTAGCATAAGTACAATTGTATTTATTTTCTTGTAATTGGTTATTTGTATCATCAGATTGTGTACCCAAATACCGGAGAGGAGAGGCCTGTTACAATTTCTGTGGATAATGGTATCCGACCAAATACAAACATGAACGATTTGGCAAAACTAAAGCCTGCATTTAAACGAGATGGTTCTACAACTGCAGGTATTTTATCACTCGATTTTTATAAAGCATTCTGCCTGCTACACATGACAGTTTCTTTGTTTAATTTTATACAACTCTTTCTTTACGTAAGAAGTCTTTTTTTTTTTTTGGTATAACTTGTTTGAATCATTGTGAATCAGTTCATTACTTTTGTCTTTCAGGAAATGCTAGCCAGGTGAGTGATGATGCTGGAGCAGTCCTCCTCATGAAAAGAAGTTTAACTATGCAGAAGGGACTTCCTATTCTTGGTGTTTTCGGGTATGATGTTGATTAACTCTGTTCAATCTAATTGCTTCAAGTAGAAAAAATATGAGGGCTCTCGAGTTGACTCTGTAATACTGCTATGTTATTTTAATTCTTAATAACTCTTTTCGTTGGTAATTGTTGCTAATTTCCATGCGATGGATATGTTCAAGAACTAACTACAGCTTGCTTTATACTTTCGATACAACTTTATGATCTCTGTGCAGGAGTTTTGCTGCCATTGGTGTGGATCCCGCTGTCATGGGAGTAGGTCCAGCTGCTGCAATTCCTGTAGCAGTGAAATCTGCTGGTCTTGAGCTTGATGATATTGATCTGTTTGAGATAAATGAGGTAGTCCATTGCTAACGAAAAGTGTAACATTCACGATAAATGTAGTTTAGTTTGGAAGAATGTTCGGCTGAGCAGTTTAATTGTTTTCTGTAGGCATTTGCATCTCAATATGTTTGTTGTTGCAAGAAATTGGAGCTTGATCCTGAAAAAGTCAATGCTAATGGAGGCGCTATTGCTCTAGGCCATTTAGGCGCTACAGGTATATGAAGTGAAGCTGAAGCTGATGTGTGATGACATAAACATGCGTGCACGTGTGTCTAATGTGCTATTATTTGGTTTATTTCCTGGTCTTACTGAACAACGAGGAAGTGAGGGTCTGTGTGATTTAACGTGAATACTGTATCTGTTCTTGTGTTAGGTGCTCGTTGTGTAGCAACTGTCCTGAATGAAATGAAGCGTCGTGGCAGGGATCACAGCTTTGGTGTTACCTCCATGTGCATAGGTATCGTTTTGCACCCCTTCCACTTGATTTGTTTATGAAGGAAGGCAGAATATTGAGAGCTTGATATGAGAATATGAAACGCGACTAAGCGTGTGTCCTTGTTGCAGGCTCAGGTATGGAGGCTGCTGCAGTTTTTGAAAGAGGGGATTCAGTTGATGAGCTATGCAACGCTAGAACTGTATAAAGCAACAATCTTGTGTCAAACGATGCTAAATAAACACTTGTTTAAAGCAACAATCTTGCAGGTTTCTTCCTGTTATGCTTTTTATATTATGGACTTTGTCTCGTTAATTGTCCTTGCCACACGTTTTATAATTACTTTGATTTTTAAGGACTTCTTGTCCGATAATTTTCCAAAACAAAACGTCGTTCAAGCATTCATTGTGCTGGGATCATATAGGTGATAGAAGTTAGCGCAAGCTATCAAAACCACACTTGTTTTGACTAATTGAATGCCAATGGAGACGGCTGGGATGTCGTTCAAGCATTCATTGTGCTGGGATCATATAGGTGATAGAAGTTAGCGCAAGCTATCAAAACCACACTTGTTTTGACTAATTGAATGCCAATGGAGACGACTGGGATGTCGTTCAAGCATTCATTCTGTTGGTGCTTTATCCTTATGCAGACGGCTGGGATGTCGCGGCCTACTGCAACACTACCGGAGCCTTCCAACAAGATATTTGCAGTCTGGACTCAAAACGAACTAGAATACACATGCTTCACCTTCCAAACTAACTAGAATCCTGAGTGTTTTTTTTTTTTTTCTCGCTTTTTATTATTTTGATCTAGCTAGTAGGGGTGGGTTCAAAAAACCGAAAACCGAAAAAAACCGAAAACCAAACCGAACCGAGGCCGAAAAAAACCGAACCGAAAAAACACCGAACCGAAACTGTCAAACCGAACCGAACCGAATCTGACTGGTTCGGTTTCGGTTTTTGAGGTTCGGAAACCGAACCAAACCGAACCGAACCGATATATATATTTAATTTTTTTTAAATATTATAAATAGTTTAGTCATACAATCATAACAAAACATACCTTGTTGCTAAGTTGGTTTCGGTGAACCTTTTCAAGCCCCAAGGCACGGGTTCGATCCTCCAGGATGTCTGAGATGTTTTTTTATTTTTTGGAGAACTTAACAAAACCCTTTAACCCTAGCAACCATACCCATACCTTTTATTTTTTTTCATTCCCTTCCTCTCTCTCGTTCCCAGCCTCCTCTCCTCCAGTGTAACCCCAACCCAGCGCAGCCGAGCCTCCTCTCTCTCGCCGAGCCTCCTCTCCTCCAGATGTCCGATCGATGCCGGTGCGCAAGGACGACGAGGTCCAGGTCGTGCGTGGGACCTATAAGGGCCGCGAGGGCAAGGTTGTCTAGGTGTACCGCCGGAAGTTGGTCATCCACATCGAGCGGATCACCCGAGAGAAGGTGAACGGGTCCACCGTCAATGTCGGCATCAACCCCTCCAAGGTCGTCATCACCAAGCTCCGCCTCGACAAGGACCGCAAGTCTCTGCTGGACCACAAGGCCAAGGGCCGCGCCGCCGCTGACAAGGACAAAGGCACCAAGTTCACCGCAGAGGATATCATGCAAAACGTCGATTGATTTCGATCGATTTCATTTGGGTTCGTGTTTTTGTTATTGAAATGAAATTAGCGACTGTCAAGTTAAGCACTTTAGTTTTGATTATGCTTTAATGGATTTGGCGTTTAATCTGATCTTCGATTTGAGAAAAAAAAAAAAATTTGGTTCTGCACTGTGATGCTTGCTTGTTCTGCACTCTCGCCATGTCTGCACTGTGATGCTTGCTTGTTCTGCACTCTCGCCATGTCTCGCCATGTCTGCACTGGTGATTAAATTATGGATGAAGCATTTACATTTTTCGGGATGCTGGATGAAGCAATGAAGTAGCTGTTAATTGTTCTTTACAACCCAATGCCAAAAAGTACAGCAGTATGCAAACATAAGTTCATAACAGAAGGTGGAGTTTAGAAGTACTGAATCATATCACTTGTCTCAGATGTTTGTTTAGGTTACTGGACCTGTTTTTTTCTGTTTGTTTCTCGGGAAAATTTGCAGGCCCACCTGGTTTCATTTCTCTGGTTGTTGGATTTGCAAGGTAAAGTTTTCTGGGTTTTTACTTTGTTGCTCCAAAAGGGTCTTAGAAAGTCTAATTCTTTGAAACATTTATGTGGGTTTTGTTCAGTTGGTGGGTTGTAAATCTCTTATGGATAACATCTAAATTTTCATTTTTTGGAGGAAAAAAAAAAAAAAAAACCGAAAAAAAACCGAAACCGAACCGAAAAAAACCGAAAAAAATATGGGCCGAACCGAAATTTCGGTTTGGTTTCGGTTTTGGCAAAAAACCGAACCGAAAAGAACCGAACCCAGCCCTACTAGCTAGGTCTGGTTCGTTCATCTTGAAATCCACTCTTTCCTCTACATGCATGCTATCTGTAGTATTTTTCATTAGCATTTGGGAATATCCCTCCTGACGCAAATATCGATCGACATACCTTCGATGAAGTTTCAGGTACATGCAAATTTCATTTAAATAATACTATCCGTTCGCAAGAAGTAAGTGAGAAGAAGATGAAGAAGACGACCTCCAAATCCAATGAGGCGATGACTTGTAAAGTGGCACAAACCGAACAATGCGAGATAATTTCCTTGTCATTTCTCAAGCTCACTGCTCAACTGCTCATCCAAGTTGGGTGTCACTGCGCTCAGGTAAGTTGGAAGTTTTTAATTTATTTTGATAATGCTATTCATCTACATATGGAAATATCATTTCCTTTATGTTCGTAAAGAAGTTTCAAGGAAGCTTCTTCAGTTCCCTCTTTTGGTCAAAAGAACGTTTTTAATTCAATTCAACCTAGTCATCAATAAGATTCTTAAACCTTTGATTATATATTGTTGATGTTTCCAAATCTATTATTTTCTATCAATTAAAGATATTTTATAAATAAAGTGACGGTATAGAATGTCAATATTCAATCTAACTTGGGAAATTTGTTAAAGTAGCCATATTTTAGACCCAATGTTCTAAAACGCAGGCTAGGCGGCCGCCTAAGCAGTGGACGGCGGGCCTCCGCCGCAATTATTATGAAATCGTTCAACAAATCGGAAGGGCTATAAATCAGTATCTAGGCAGTCGCTGGGCGGGCAACGTGGTCGTTGGGCAGGCAACGCGTTCTAGGCGGCCTCTTTGTTTTGTTAAAAAAAAAAAAAAAACTCTTTGTACTGACGACAATAGAGTGATCTGTTGAGGAAGGAGAGAGGGATCTGCAATTTTGTTGTTGAAAGAAAAGAGAGAGAGTTGTCTGGAACTTCTTGAAACCATCGACATCGGGGATCACCACTACACTGACCTACACAATTCAATTGATTTTTGAGTTGGGTTGGTCGGGATTTGCGTTTTGATGAAGATGAAGGCTTGTTTGGTCGATGACAGGACGACACTGCAGGGAGAGGGTAACTGGGCAAGGCTTGCTTAAACTAGGGAGAAGCGAAGAGAGGGGATGGAGATTGGAGACTTTGGAATTGACGGCTTAAAGAAAAAGGAGATGAGAGTAAATGGATTTGGGTAGGGAGAAGTGAAGAGAAGGCATGGGACTTTTGAATTGACGCATAAAGAAAAGTAAATGGGTGTTAATGGGTTTGGGTGTCAGAATCAGAAATGATTCAATTAATAAAGGAAATTATTATTATTTTTTTTTTGGAAAGAAATTACTTTTTAATAAATAATAGATTGAGAATATATAATAAATTAAACAAAATATCTAGGAGTTTGTCAAATCTTTTATCATCTTTAGGTTAGGGTTTTCTTTGTAAATAACTAAATATACAAGGTCTTTTTGGGTTCTGTTATTTTGGATGTATATACTTTGTGTATTTTTTTACTTTTATTTTTGCATTTTATGATTATGTTAGTATCCATAGAAGTATAGTTTGTTTTTAGGTGTAAATAGACACTTATTTACAAGATATATAATAAATTTACATAAATCCGCCTAGGCGCTAGGCCCCTGTCCACCGCCCGACTAGCGCATAGCGTTTTTTAAAACCTTGTTTAGACCTTATATAGAATTATAGCCATTATTTTAGTTTTATGATAATTCTAACCAAAACTTTATGTAAAATACTAATATACCCTTAATATTAGGGTTTCTCACAACAAAAACAAAACCTCCTTCAAACTCTCTCGCAACCTTTGGTTTCTCACCTTAAACTAGAAGAGCACTCTTTGCCGATTTTGCATAATTAAGCAGTAGGGATGTTCTGACAAAAAAAATAAAACGCAGTAGGATGCATCAGCCTTTTCAAATTGTCCAAGAAACAATGGTATGATTGGTCAATTGTAGCTTCCATTTCCTAAATCAACTTTTTGATATTTCATATCATGGTTTTTTGTAACATCCCACATCGCCCAGAGGAGTGATTCTTAAATGTATATTCACATCCCTACTTAGCACGAGGTCTTTTGGGAGCTCACTAGCTTCGGGTTTCGTATGAACTCCGAAGTTAAGCGAGAAGGGGGCCATAGCACTCTTAGAATGGGTGACCCACTGGGAAGTTGCTCGTGAGTTCCCAAAAATAAAATCATGAGGGAATGGTAAGCCCAAAGCGGACAATATCGTGCTACGGTGGTGGAGCGGGCCCGGGAAGTGGTCCGCCCCGGGCCGGGATGTGACAATATCAGAGCCAATAGATGGCTGGAAGTATGTCGACGAGGATGTCGGGCCCCTAAGGGGGTGGATTGTAACATCCAACATTGCCTAGGGGAGTGATCCTTAAATGTATATTCACATATTTACCTAGCACGAGGCCTTTTGGGAGCTCACTGGCTTCGGGTTCCGTAGGAACTCTGAAGTTAAGCAAAAATGGGGCCAGAGCACTCCTAGGATGGGTGTGACCCACTAGGAAGTTGCTCGTGAGTTCACAAAAACAAAACAGTGATGACACGGTCAGGGCCTAAAACGAACAATATCGTGCTACGGTTGAGTCGAGCTTGGAATGTGGTGGACTCGGGCGGGGATGTGACATTTTTAGTCAAAACTTTAATGATTTTCATGTTCCAATGCAGGTGAATATATTATGAATCCTTCAGCAAATCAACAACTTTAATGATTCAATTCCTGATTAATTTTTATGTTTAGTTTACTGGGTTATCTTCAATTTTCACGTTATCTGATTACATTTAAATATCTATATCTACTCTATATCTATATACATATATATATTGAAAAAAATAATAAGTGTAAGAAATGGAGGGGTTCTAGATTAGGGGTACTGGGTAGTATTCAAGAGGCTACCTCTTTTATGTTTCAAGATCTCAACTAATTGTTGTTTTTTCATGGTTAAGAGCAATGGGGAATTTTTTCATTAAGGGTATATTAGTATTTTTACATTAAGTTTTGGTTAGAATTATCATAAAACTAAAATGATGGCTATAATTCTATATGGGATCTAAAGTATGGTTACTTTTCCAAATTTCTCATCTAACTCGATGACTGTTTATAATAATCTTAAAAACCAACTTGCAAAATTATCATGTGTAATAAGAATAGTGATCGGGGACCATTCATCTTTCAAGTTGTTCCTACTTTTACTTCATACTTTCTATTTTTTTTTAATCCTATTTTCACGTTTTTCAAACTTCACCTAGTGTCTTGCCTCAAGTTCATGCACATATATTTATATTTAAGATTGACAGCTGCTTAGAACTCTGAGCGAGTAAAACATTAATGTTTTGTGTTTACAACTTTATCATCTTGGTTTACCATTTTACCTTCGTTTAACAAATATTTTGCTAGTAGGATTTTAAGAATCAAAGTATAGGTTTTTTTTTTAGTAAAATACAAGTTAGTTAGACATGACCAATCTGTATCAATATGTCTTGGCAAAGTTTCTATAAAAAGCTGAGCATGTCTATGGTGAATAAGAACACAAGGAATCAAGTGATTGAGTTTGAGAAAAAAGTACATATACATGCTACAAGTTAGACCATATTTATGGTACCATTTCAACCACTAATTCCTTTTGTTCTTATTTAGATTTGAATATATACTAATGAATATTTCCAAAACTAAAATGGCACAAGTGGTAACGCGCTAACTGTCAAAAGATTAAAGCAAGTGGGTCACCAAAACCTTTTTTCGGTCTCAACATCTTTGAATTGTTTGCTGTTCTTTCATATCCTGGTCATCGTGTTCTTTTTCGTTATTTATACCCCACATATAGAAAGCGAGGCGACCAACAAACACAAAAACATCACACACACACACACACAGGAGAGAGAGCGAGAGAGAGAGATGGCAGTGAGGGAAAATATTGGAGGAGCTGCAGAAAAGGGGCTGAAGCAGCAGAAGAATCCAGATGTGAATGACGGGAAAGAAGCAGAGAAAGCTATGAAGATGAAGCTGAACTCAACAGAAAAGGAGATGATGAAGATCATGGTTCCGAGGGAGACAAACTGCTCATGCTTCAAGCCAAAAGCTGGAAGTGTGTTTCCCGCCAAGAGAAAATCCGTGAAACGCATGATGTTTGATCGTTTTGTACTAAAGCACTTTGGCTCCTCTGCTGTGAGCGTGTGGCCTCCCAATTAATCTCCACAAACCCTAATAAAATGTATAGCTATCTTCTCTCTCACTTCTCATCACAACACATGAAACACCACCAAATTAAACACCAAGACAGAAGATAGAATTCACCCCATATCCATTACCCCCAACAAACCCGCTTGTATAATTATCATTCAGCACCTTACTCTTTGCAGAAGCACTTGATTTATGATGTGTACTTGGCTTTTTAATGTTATATGTTGATCTCTGGTTAATTTTAATTCAATGCATAAACACTTAATTTATTATGTGTTTTTGTTCCATACATATGGATGTCTAAACGATCTCCGTTTTGAATGATTTTTGTAAGAATGAGTTTCAAATGAAGATTAAGCAATTAAACGGTTTTGATTATAAAATTTATGCGTTTAAGATACGTTATTGCAAATGGTGAAATTCCCTCTCGGATGCAAGTATTTTCTCGTTGTTATAGATTTGTTTTTCTCTTGTATGAAATTGGCTAGTCATTTTGATATGTACAATTGAAGACTTGTTGCCCAAGCTTTTGAATGGCATGACGAAAGGATGACATGGACTCAAATTTGATATCCTGGAATTTCCAGGTTTGTAACTTTATATGTGGTCCGTCTCGCTGTAAATTTCAATTTAATTACTACTTTCGTGTTAACACGTGTGTGGCTGTGGTTTTGTGATATATCTTGCTTGTTAGTTTGGACTCTTTGACTGTGGTCTAATTCATGTGTGAACATTTGTGATTTTGCTCTCAAAGGCATTTTAATGATACATTGCAGGCGCGTTTTAAGGTCTTCCCCCATTTAATTGTAAAATTGATGTTGGAAAAATTTTGTACCACGTGATACAGGATTATTACAAAGAATGATATATTGCTTCACGAAATCTTTCATATTTTATTCGCTTTCACATATAACGCTCAAAGAAAATATGAAAAAACCATTTGAATACAATAAACCCCAGCCTAAACTTTAAAGATGTATGTTAATCAATATTTTGCACAACCGAAGATCAACCTAATACTCTAGCTAAGAAGATTTAGAAGATAGCTAGATCAAGGTCCCTAGGAAAGAAGTTGTGCACTTTGTTAATTAGATCCTGATGTATGTTTTTTATATGTGTTTTTCATACCTACTTTTACCTTTTAAAATAGGGAACAAAAAGTTCAAGGTACTGTTCACTTTAACGAAAAATCACTTTACCTTTTATTTTGTCGTTAAAACTCAAAGTTTTTAAATCATTTTTATTAGTTTTCCTTTTAAAATACGTAGAAACTGACCCACAAACAAGAACATGTGCCTTTTTCTCTACTGGTGGGGTGTGACTTTTCAGGCTAATCCACCTCTCGAAATGTGACGAAAATTCACCAATACCTTGTGGCCTTATTATTCAAATTGAAGTACATGTCCAAGTCCCAATCCCTTTGCGGCCTGCGTATTAATTAATTTGATTATTTGTATCCTCTTGTTATCGTTTGTGGGCTAAACAACAAATCTGTTATTAGTCACAATCCGAATGAGATGGCACCAACAAATAGAAAAAAGGATTCTAGGCTTTCTAGGTATGGGAGAGACCTCCACCTTTTCCCCGAAGCTACTACTCTCTTTATCCTACTTATACTCATAAATTTGTATTAAACCTTCTAATTGGAATATGCACTGATACGTTTTCCTAGCATAGATTCAACAGATTAGTTACAAATTAAGCAAACTAAGCAAGTCCTTGGTCAATTAGAATTATTAAATTTACTTATTAGATATGGTATTATAATAGTGAAGTGCCGATAACATCTAAAGAGGGATTATAAACTAGGGAAGGAGGAGGATCACAACCGTCTTGGTCAAAACCACCATTTGTCCAATTCAGCATTTACAAATTACACATCCTCAATATTTTATTTTCAGAAGATTAAAACTAGGAGATTGAAGGGGTCAGTTTTCGTTTGTGCTTGCTGTGTTTATTATAGTTTACTTGATAAAAATAAGTACAATTTTATTCGGGTTACAATACTAACACATTGTTTGATGAACAAATTTGATGATCGAAATTTAGCGCTAGTTTGATATTGATGTGCTTTGAAAAAAAAGCTTCTTATGCTGTGTTGTGAGAATAACCAGCTGTGAAATAAAGCAGCAGAGTGTTTAGTAATTTTTTTTTGTAAAAGTGCTTTTGGAAAAAAAAAAAAAACTGTATGATAGTGTTTGGTAAACTTTTATGTAAAACAACAGTGACTGTGTGAAATGACAAAAAATGATATAAAATGAGTATAATGTTAAATGTAAAATAATAAATGAGCCCTATCTTTCTTTTATCCATTTTAATTTATTAATAATCCATGTCTTCTATTTATTAATAGTCTCTCTAGAAGTCTCCTCTTTTATTAACCTTCTTTCTCCTTCTGTCTCAATTCGCCTATCTTTCTCCACTGTGCCTTTGCCTTTTAGATAAGGGAACTTTAATGAAAAGTACCCGGTACTGTTCACTTTAACGAAAAACCACATTTTTACACAAAAAAGTCAATCCTGGTACTATTCACTTTACCCTTTATTTTGTCCTTATCATTAAAACTCAAAGTTTTCAAGCCATTTTCATTAGTTTTTCTTTTAGATAAGTCCTCCTTCAACTTAATTTGGTGTTTTTTTTGAGGTTCTTGAAAATCCAATACGATCGGATTTGATTTGGGGGCCTGGAAATTCTGGGTTCATAGTAGGGATGGGCAATGGTTATGCGGGCGGGTAACCGCGGTTATTTTACCCATAACCGTTTATGTTCATACCCGCATAACTGTTTACCCGTTGGGTAATTACATAAATAGTTATACCCATAACCATAACCGTTTATAAACGGTTATCCATAACCATAACCGTGTACCCATTTACCCATAACCATTTACCCATTTAACCATAACCATAACCATTTACCCGTTTACCCATTTTTTCACCCGTTTATCCTTTTTTTACCCATTTTCCTTTTTTTTCTCCCGTCTACATTATTTTTTTAACGATAGTTAATCAAAAAATGAAAAGCGGAACACTATTCTCTATTCAAATCAAGAAGCTTTCTATCAATAACAACACTTTGACAATGTGGATACAATTACAAATCACAGCACTTATACACATTTGAAGTTGATTCATTGCCTGATAGAACAATCATTACAAGTTGAAATTCACTTGGCGAAAGCGCTACTGGCAGAAGCGCTTATGACACAAGCAGTCCCGAACCAGCCCTAAGCAAAGCCGAGGTGGGTGTTGGTCTCCCACTTAATCTCTCCTAAGAGTATATTCCGTGCTCGCTCATCATGTTGTTCAATCGTTTTATGTCCATCACCTGAAAGAAATTGAATTAAGACCATGTTTGGCCGGAAACTTAAAATTGCTTATCTGTATAGAAGTACTTATGTGCTTCAAAGCACTTCCAACTTCTTTTCCAAGAAGCATTTTCAATAAAAATTTCGACTTTTGTTCTTTATTTTTTGAGTTTCTGATCAATCGACTTTTGTTCTTTAATAAAAGCACTTCTATGTAATTGACCCAAAAAAAAAGCATTTCTATGTAGTGTTTTCTACCTAAGGAGTCCCAGACTGGCCTAAAAGTGTTTTCCATTTTCATTTTTCTAGGCAACCAAACAGATGATAAGAATTAAGAACCAAAATGCTTGCGTACCTGAACGGAATACTTGACGGCGAGGCTGGCGACGGTGTCCTGGCGGACAATCTGGTGCAAGATGGCGAATTTTCCGATCGAATTGTCCCTCCAGAAGCTTGAAGACGCCGGCTTTCCGATCACCTCCTTCAGATTCCAAGGAACTTTGAAGGCTTTGGCGACGATCTCCTGATCGGAGGCGAAGGAGCTCCAGACTCGGCAGACGCAGCTGGAGCGAGCGAGGTCGGGAATCGGGAGCTTCTCGAAGATGAGGCGGAGGGTGTCGCGGCAAGTCAAGGCCGAGAAGTGAGAGTTCATAGGGGATATCGTGGTGGTGGAGTCGGAGGAGTCGCCGAGGGTTGGGGCGGCGACGTCGGCGTAAAGAAGGTTGACTCAACTCCTATGACAGATCGTCGGCCACGGCGGTGCTGAAGATGTAAAACCCGTACAGCAAGTGAACCAGGCTGCTCACAAAAGAGAGCGACGGAGAGAAAGGTGCAAAGAGAAAGCGATGGAGAGAGAGAGTGATGGAGAGAGAGAACGACAGATAGAGCGACGGACGGAGAGAGAGTGACGAAGTTGAAAGGCGGAGAAAGAGAGTGACAGAGTTGTAACTCTGATGGTTTTTAATTTTTTTTTAATTTTACATATATTAAATTAAATGGGTAAATGGATACCCGTTATAACCATGAATATTAACCATAACCGATGGATACCCGTTATAACCGCGGATAATATCCATAACCGCCCATTTAAATTTCATGGATAAACGGTTATACCCATAACCGTTTATTTGTTTAAACGGTTACCCATAACCATAACCATCAACTTTAAATGGGCGGGTAACCGCGGTTACCCATACCCATGGGTATTTTGCCCATCCCTAGTTCGTAAAAGTCTAAATCAATGGGTCTAGTCTTTCTATGACATTATGTTTCGTATCCGTCTGCTCCACTCGTTCTCCATTGTCTTCCTCTACTGGTTCTACGTTTTCTCGTGAATTAATCACATCAATTCGAATCCCAATCCTAATTTTATTTTCGCCCCAATTCTTTCAACCCTATTCTAATTTAGGTAACAAACATCAATTCCTAATTTTTGCAATTCTTGGGTAAATTACCCGAAGAAAGGAAGAAATGTCTTCGGTTCAGCACCAATCAAGCTCAGGATCCGATGGGTCCGCGACGGTGGACGAGAAGAAGAGGAAGAGGATGTTGTCCAACCGCGAATCTGCGAGGCGTTCGAGGATGAAGAAGCAAAAGCAGATTGATGATTTGACGACTGAGATCACCCGTCTGGAGATATCAAACAATCAGGTTAGGCATACAGTTGATGCCAGGGAACAGAGCTACAATGAGATAGAGGGTGTTATTGGACTTTAGAAAAAAAAACCAGTTTTCCAAAGCAGCATTTAGCTGCTTCAGCTTTTCTGATGATTTCAACTTATTCTCACAACAGCTTCCAAAATAATTCCTTTTTTTTTTTAGTTTACCAAACACCTTCAACATAAAAATTTTGAAAATAAACAACTTTTTTTTTTAAGTACCTCAATGCCAAACCATACCTTAGTGTGGTTTACTCGTTGCAAGCAAAAGCAAATAAGATTGGTGAAGTGGTGGGTTGGTGGACCGTTAGTGACTCATCATGGTAGGTGACGTTGAAACAAGTTGATTAGATTTGGATTTTTATATATATCCGAGATGTGTGGTGATCATGAGTCTGATGGCGTAGAATCCTTTTACCAAAGATTTTGCATGCTTGTTATCAACAAGTACGGCAAGGAATAATATAGCAAGCTAATGAATCAAACTTCTTGGAAGTTGTTTCTATATAATATTAATTTACACACGCACACGCACACGCACACACAATATCTTATGTTTAATAAACCGATGTCGTCAAGAAGTGGAATGAAAACAAAAATAACTAGAGCATCCCATTTTCCTAATGTTGAGATATTGTGCTTGTGAAGCTATTCACACTTGAATATCTTCAATGACTTTATTGGGTTTGATGATGCTAATAAATGATGGAAAGTTTTAACGAAAAACTCACGATATTGCTCATTTTAACAAAAAATCACATTTTTACACTAAAAAGTCAAACCTGGTACTATTCATTTTACCCTTTATTTTGTCATTATCGTTAAAACTCAAAGTTTTCAAGCTATTTTCATTAATTTTCCTTTAATAATACCATTTCATGTTGAGCAATGTTTTTTCCTAACTTGATGGTAGAATATGGATTCCTCATAATGAAACGTACTTATTCCAGTCTCTACAAACTATCTGTACATGTATTTTTGTTTATAATGCGTATCGTTTCATTTATGCATTGTAAACTATCCAACTTTCAGTTGGTCTCTATTTTTAATTATCTCATCTTGTCTATGTGTTTTACCTCTTTTTTTTTTTTTAATTCAAATTCTTCAAGTACTTTTATATCGATTCCAATTATGATGAACTTTACAAAAGAGATTACAGAGAGGATCGATTACGGATCTTTAAACCTTAATATTATAGTTTAGCTAGCTTGGGTATAATTTCTTAAAAAAAAAAAAAAAATTATAGAACCAAATACAAGTGTGCTGATCGTATCTATGTCCTAAGTTTGCTAGCCAGTCTATTGAAATGTTTGCTTGCTTATATGTATTTGAAATTGTATGTCAATAATTTGTCTTGATCAATGTCAAATGTCTTGGATACGCAAAAAAACTTGGAATTCTATCGTGCACAATTTGGATTAAATCTTTGAGTCTCCTTTAGTGAAAATGATTTATAAACACTCTAATATATATATATCTTTAATTATGGTACATTTTCCTCAAACTCGATCACTTTCTTCCGTATATTCTTTATAACATGTTTTTCTAGTTGTTGGTTGGCTTGAAAATACTAATCAATCTTTCCAAAATAAAACGTTCCTGCAAGTTGGCAGTGCCAGAAAATCTTATGAAAATATGGGAAGTGAGCCACCAAGGCCACGTGTCATTTGTTCAGGCATCCCACTTTTATTTTTGAAAGTGATGTTGTTGTCTCTTCCTCATGCATGTTGTTCTTTCTTGAGTTGATTTTTGGGTTTTCCTTCATCTAGTCATCTCATCATTCATCATTCATTGTTCTTTTTCATTATTTAAACCCCATCTTCTTAGAGCAAGAAACCCACAACACAGCACGCGAGAGAGAGAGATGGCAGTGGGGGCAAATATTGCAGAGGCTGAAGAGAAAGGGATGAAGAAACAGAAGAACCCAGATGATCGGGAAATGAAGATGATGGTTCTGCAGGAGACGCAATACTACTCATGCTTCAAACCAAAAGTTGGAAGTGTGTTTCCCGCCAAGAGAAAATCAGTGAAACGCATGATGTTTGATAGTTTAGTTCTCTACTTTGGCTCATTTTCTTATCCTCCTTCCACATCAGCTTTGGCATCCCAATCCCCAAAATCCTAATAGCTCTCTAATTCTCACTTCTCATCACCTTAAACATCAAATACCATTGTAATCCATATGATTCAGCAGCCTTTCTACTCCTCCCAAAAGTACTTAATTCTGTGTATTTCACTTTTTTTTTATTATATATGTAGTTTGCTTATCTGGCTTTAATTCAATGTTTCAATGTTTCTGCCTTTTCATAGAATGAATGATTCATGTGTGCACACTTTTGGCTTTTGTGTCGCTGATTCGGATTGGGTTAACAAAATGTGCATAAAAAAATCTAAGAGATTCTTCCTTAAAAAAAATCAAAGAGATTCACAGGGTCCATACGCAATTTAAAGAAAAAAAATATAAGAGGAAATAAAAGGGAGAAAAGTTCTGATATATTAGAACTAAAACAACCAAGAAATCCAAGTTTTGAAAAACTATGAAATTTGTAAAATTTATCTTGTTTAGGTCGACAAAAGCATTAAAGAAAACAAATAAATAGGCAGAGTTTGGTCTTATCTGAATTCTGAATTGCCAAATGCATGACCTGCTTTTGTTGTGCTATAGATGTTGATCAAAGTCTGCAATTACTACAGCTATACAAAGTGACATGTCTATATTTCTTAAAATTAGACAGTCTGCCTTGTTTGTTGCTGCTCGATAGCTGCCACTCATGCATGGACCCTTCAGCATGCAGGCAGACAGACAGACAGACAGACATACATACATACATATAATTAGCTATTATTTTTAAAATTTAGAAATATAACCACCTCCTCCCATTCGCATGGTTAAATTCTGAAAGTTTGAATAATTGGTCTAAAAACCTTTAGTGTGCCCACAATTTGACTATTTTTCAAAACTTCCCATGTCACCATATACAAATTTATCATTATACTAGGTATGGTTATTGCCTGAATTTGTTTTTACTTGAGGATTTTTATCATTTCCATTAAAAAAAAAATTGTATCGTGAAATTACTTAGTCAGTTTCATTTGCACACGCAATTGAGTTCTAGGGCCTTGTCAACTTTTTCTCTTCTAATTGTGTGGTTTACTTACTCTTGTTCACCACCATGATGTTTGATAGTTACTCTTGGAAGTGGTTTCATGTTCACACTGTGAATGTGGTGTAATTTTCTTAATTGCATGCACTCTTGACTCTTGGAATGTGGTCTATTTCTGTGTGAGAACACTTGGGCTTTTGCGTTCATGGGATTTTATTGATACATGACACATTACACACACGCACTCTTTCATGGTCTCCAGATCTTTCTTTTCCTCCCCCATTCAAGTTGGTAAAATCAGATAATAAATTTTTTTATTGAACATATATTAATCAAATTTATCAAAGACTACCAACTTAGACACGCCTTAATTTGTAGAAGGGTAATTTGGAGCGATGGTTCTGAAATTTATTTGTGACTTATATTTAAGTCCTTCAACTTGATCATATGTTGCATGTTCGTCCTTTAAGTCACTTTCATAACTCAATCTTGGGTTCAAGTTAGGATCTCGGCTCACATTTTCGAAATAAAAGGATAATTTGGATTCACTGTCAGAGACTAAGAATCATATCAATTTCAGTCATTCGATTCCCCAGATTTTCTCAAATGGTAGGCGCGCAGCTGGTTGGAAACAAGTTGAGGAGATTGCCTCTTTTTGCACTCACTGCATGCATGTCCCACACGTCTATTGACGTACGTGAGAGACCTTTTTCTAAGGCTCGCATGATTATTATGTCCCATGTTAATGGAAACGTAGATTGGTTGGTTAATTTGAAGATTGGTATCATACAGCCAGGAATAAGCGATAAAGTAAAAATAAAACAAAAAACAATTATATAGATCCCAATTACCCTTTGATGTCTTTTCCATTCAATCTGATGACATCAAACTATTGAAAACTAACTCCAACTCCAAGCATCCACTTGTTGATGTTGAAGGAATTGCATGCATTTGGAATTTCTGTTTGTTAGTAAGGCGATGATCGCACTCACCAAAACTATACAGAAAATGGACGTAAGATCATCAAACTGGGTTAATCTTGGACTTTTGTTTGTTCTTTCTCACAACCCATTATTAACCTTTTTCTCAAATTACTTGCTAAATGAGTTAACTGCTATTTTCTCATGAATTATTATGCTGGTGTAAATTTAATTCACAATCTCTTTTGCCTTCAAGTAATTTGAATAACGAGCTACATCAAAATCGCTGAAGTTTCTCTCATGAATTATTTTTACGGTGTAAAAGGGATTAAATTTTCCTAAATAAGTAACGCATTTTGGTGTTGAATTTGATGAAATTTACGAATTGTCACTCTCAGGAAAACAGTGACATGGGAGTGATGGTCACATGGTCCAGGAATATGCTGCTTCCCTCCACGTACCGGTCACCACCCGCTTTGGCCTTTTCTGTTCTTTTTGCCTATTTAAACTTGAAAAGGGCTTCTATTCTTCAATCCTCATAAATATTCAATAATACACACTCAAAAAACACAGAAAAAAAAAAAAAAAAGACATGGATAACCCGTCTCAAGAAGAAATGATGGTATCCCACAAGGCTGAGCCATGGACGTTCAAACCGAAAACCGGAAGCGTTTTCCCTGTGAAGAAAAGGTTAGTAAAAAGAATGATGCTTGATCAAATTGTGCAATGTTTCTCATAAATATTCATAATACACACTCAAAAAACACAGAAAAAAAAAGACATGGATAACCCGTCTCAACAAGAAATGATGGAATCCCACAAGGCTGAGCCATGGACGTTCAAACCGAAAACCGGAAGCGTTTTCCCTGTGAAGAAAAGGTTAGTAAAAAGAATGATGCTTGATCAAATTGTGCAATGTTTTTTTATCTCTTGCAGACACTTCTGCTGGAGTTGGACCCTCTGAAACCTCAAATGCCAAGAAGATCGTCAGCAGCCACGTTTACCATGGCCACCATATAGCATATGAGCCACCCAATTAGTGCAAATGTTTTGTATTCTGCTAGTGAGTTCTTGGTGATGCGTGTGTTGTAATTTCAATGACATTCAAGTCATATAATGCTGTGATTGATCTCTTTTTGATCTTTCTATCTGTTTTTAATCAACTTTATAAATTCTATAACTTGGGTTTGGCAATTCATGATTAATCTGAAGTTTTACATACATGTTACTACTCTTTTGCGATTAATTTGTAAGTTATAATATATACTAACGATTTAGAGTGGTTGGAACTGTTTTAGGGGATACTAATTAATGGGAGTCTTATGGCCTGGGTAAATTGATAATTGTGCCTTAAATTGAAAAACAACTCCTAGTCCAACAAAATTTGCCAAGTCAAATTGAAACTTAGACACCTTTCAAGGCCAAACTAACCCCAACGCAAGCCTTTAACGTGAGACCTATTTAAATAAATAATAAATTTAGAATCCTAAGTGAACCAAAAAACATATTGGTAATCTATATCTTCGTTTTGAAGGGCTAACTAGATACTCTTACCTTCCAACCCTTGCCCAACACATTATATATGCTTTGAGATGGGAGAATTCGTATTTGTTAGCTATAATCCAAAAAAAAATATCCCCTTAATTTGTACGCTTTTCCCTTCTCTCTTACATGGTGGAGAACGAAAACCTATGGGAAGTCATTGGAGGCGTACGTTAGTGATATGCGATCATTCAGGATACAACATAAAATCTTTGTTGCATGAAAATTCTTCTTCATCTAAAACTCTATAATAATTGATGCTCATTGAGTCATTTATAAAGAGTGGAAGACAAAACAAAAAATTGGAAGAGTACCATTATACATTTGGAAGGGTTCATTATACATTTGAAGGTGATCTTGTTGTCCCTTCCGGAATTAGATCCTCTCCATATCTTCTCACTGGAAATAAATAACAACCATGCATAAAAAATCGTGTGGCCATTTTTTTTATTTTATATTTTTCATGTAAAATGAGACTACTTTATTGTTGAAAATATAAAAAGCATTCAATTGTGGTCGCACGATATTTGATGAACAGTTGTTATTAATTGATCCATGGGATCCCCAGTGTACGGATCCAAAGAGGATCTAAGTCCGGTATCTTCCTCATGCATGTTGTTCTTTCTTGAATTGATTTTTGGGTTTTCCTTCATCTAGTCATCTCATCATTCATAGTTCTTTTTCGTTATTTAAACCCCATCTTCTTAGAGCAAGAAACCCACAACACATCGAGAGAGAGAGAGAAAGAGAGAGATGGCAATGAGGGCAAATATTGCAGAGGCTCAAGAGAAAGTGTAAGTTGTAACATCCCACATCACCCAGGGGAATGGATCATGTAAGTCTTATATGTATATTCTCATCTCTACCTAACATGATGCCTTTTGGGGAGCTCACTGGCTTCGGATTCCATCAGAACTCTGAAGTTAAGCGAGTTCGTGCGAGAGCAATCCCAGGATGGGTGACCCATTGAGAAGTTCTCGTGTGAGTTCTTAGAAACAAAACCTTGAGGGCGTGGTCAGGGCCCAAAGCAGACAATATCGTGCTACAGTGGAGTCGAGCCCGGGATGTGGTGGGGGTCTGGGCCGAGAGGTGACAATTTGGTATCAGAACCAATCCCTGACCGGTAGTGTGTCGATGAGGACGTTGGACCCCTAAGGGGGGTGGATTGTAACATCCCACATCGCCTAGGGGAGTGGATCCTGTAAGCCTTATATGTATATTCACATCTCTACCTAACACGAGGCCTTTTGGAAGTTCACTGGCTTCGGGTTCCATCAGAACTCTAAAGTTAAGCGAGTTCGCGCGAGAGCAATCCTAGGATGGGTGACCCACTGGGAAGTTCTCGTGTGAGTTCCTAGAAACAAAACCGTGAGGGTGTGGTCAGGGCCCAAAGCGAATAATATCGTGTTACGGTGGAGTCGAGCCCGGGATGTGGTGGGGGCCTGGGCCGAGATGTGACAATTTGGTATCAGAGCTAATCCCTGGCCGGTAGTGTGCCGACGATGATGTTGGGCCCCTAAGAGGGTGGATTGTAACATCCCACATTGCCCAAGGGAGTGGATCCTATAAGCTTTATATGTATATTCTCATCTCTACTTAGCACGAGGCCTTTTGGGAGCTCACTGGCTTCGGGTTCCATCGGAACTTTGAAGTTAAGCGAGTTCACGAGAGAACAATCCCAGGATAGGTGGCCCACTAGGAAGTTCTCTTGTGAGTTCCCAGACACAAAACCTGAGAGCGTGGTCAGGGCCCAAAGCGGACAATATCGTGCTACGGTAGAATCGAGCCCGGGATGCGGTGAGGGCCCGAACCAGGATGAGACAATTTGGTATGAGAGCCAATCCCTAGTCAGGAGTGTGCTGACGAGGACGTCAGGCCCTTAAGGGGGTGGATTGTAATATCCCACACCGCTCAGGGGAGTGGATCTTGTAAGCCTTATATGTATATTCCATCTCTACCTAGCACGAGGCTTTTTGGGAGCTCACTGGCTTCGGGTTCCATCAGAACTCTAAAGTTAAGTGAGTTCGCGCGAGAGCAATCCTAGGATAGGTGACCCACTGGGAAGTTCTTGTGTGAGTTCTCAAAAATAAAACCGTGAGGGCGTGGTCGGGGCCCAAAACAGACAATATCGTGCTACAGTGGAGTCGAGCATGGGATGTGGTGGGGGCCCGGGCTAGGATATGACAATTTGGTATAAGAGCCAATCTTTGGCCTATAGTGTGCCGACGAGAACGTCGGGTCCCTAAGGGGGGTGGATTGTAACATCCCACATTGCCGAAGGGAGTGGATCCTGTAAGCCTTATATGTATATTCCCATCTCTACCTAGCATCAGCTTTTTTGGGAGCTCATTGGCTTCGGGTTTCATTGGAACTCTGAAGTTAAATGAGTTCGCACGAGAGCAATCCCAGGATGGGTGACCTACTGGGAAGTTCTCGTGAAAATGGTTTGAAAATTTTGAGTTTAACAGAATAAAAGGAAAAGTGAATAGTAACATGATTACCTTTTTAGTGTAAAAATATAATTTTTCGTTAAAGTAAATAATACTGAGAGTTTTTGTTAAAGTTCACTTTTTTCATCCTCCTCCTTCCACATCAGCTTTGGCATCCCAATCCCCAAAATCCTAATAGCTCTCTAATTCTCGCTTCTCATCACCTTATACATCAAACACCATTGTAATGCGTATGATTTAGCAGCTTTTCTAGTCCTCCCAAAAGTACTTAATTCTGTGTATTTCGCTTCTTTCCTTTGTAAATTATACATGCGGTTTGCTTATCTGGTTTTAATTTAATGTATCAATGTTACTGTTTTTTCATAGAATGAATGAGTGTGCGCACTTTGGCTTTTGTGTCGCTGATTCGGATTTGGTTAATAAAATGTGCATAAAAAATCTTAAGAGAGATTCTTCCTTAAAACAAAAATCTAAGAGATTCACAGGGTCCATATACACAATTTAAAGAAAAAAAATATATGAGGAAATGAGAGAAAAGTTCTGATATATTAGAACTAAAACAACCCAGAAACCCAAGTTTGGAAAAACCATGAATTTAGTAAAATTTATCATGTTTAGGTCGAGAAAAACACTTAAAAAAAAACAAATAAATAAGGAGTTCGATCTTATATGAATTCTGAATTGCCAAATGCAAGACCTGCTTCATCAGTTGGATTATTATGCTAGATGTTGATCAAAGTCTGCAATTACTACAGCTATCTAAGGTGAGTGACATGTCTAGCTTTCTTAAAATTAGACAGTCTGCCTTGTTTGTTGCCGCTCGACAGTTGACACTCATGCACGGGCCCTTCAACATACATATAGACATAGTTTAATTTGCTATTACTGTCAAGATTTAGAAATATAACCGCTGGAGGCCTCCTCGGACATATGCTCGAACTCACTTCGAATCCCCTTCGCGTGGTTAAATTCTAAAAATTTGATCATTGGTCTAAAAACCTTCTGCGTGCCCACAATTTGACTACTTTTCAAAATTTCTCATGTCACCATGTACAAAATTTTCATTATACTAGATATGGTTATTGCCTCAAATTGTTTTTACTCAAGGATTATCTTTGATTATCTTTTCCATCAAAAAAAAAATTGCAACGTGAAATTGTTTAGTCACTTTCATTTGCGTATGCAATTGAGTTGTAGGGCCTTGTCAATTTGTTCCCTTCTAATTTTGTGTGGTTTACTTACTGTTGTTTTAATCTAATGGTTTCATGTTCACACTGTGAACGTTGCGTGATGTGCTTACATGGCACTCTTGACTCTTGACCGTGGTCTATTTATGTGTGAACACTTTGGGCTTTTGCTCTCATGAAGTTTTTTATACGTTACATGCACACACTCTTTCAAAGCCCCGTTATCTTTCTTTTTTCCCTTATCTTTTTTAATTGGGAACTTTAATGAAAAGCATCTGGTACTGTTCACTTTAACGAAAAACCATATTTTTACACTAAAAAGTCAATCATGGTACTATTCACTTTACCCTTTATTTTGTCCTTATCATTAAAACTTAAAGTTTTCAAGCCATTTTCATTAGTTTTCCTTTTTTTTTTCTCCCCCATCCTCCCTCTCTCTTTGTCTATCGCATTTGCATCCTAATTAAGGTATAAAATATCGATGATATCAGAAATATCGGTAGTCCAAAAACACGGAAATTTCGATGAAAATATTGGGATATTATCGATATCGATAAAAATTGAATAAAACCCACGGAAATTGTAAGAAAAACTTGGAAATTTTTATTGAAACTTTGCATGATGTTTATTTAGTCAATTATCTATTAGTTTATCACAAAAAATTGGAAGGAAATGCATTGCATGATAGATATAACTGATTTAAGTTGATTATATAGCGAGCTGGCAAACGTTGTGAGTGTAGAAAATATGTAGTAATTAATGAAAGAAGTTTAAACATACCATAATCATTTATATATAATGAATTAGTACAATATTTTACACTTTATACATTGCATGGTAAGATACATGAGTGACTTAACAAGGTCTAAAATATCGATGATATCGGAAATATCGGTAGTCCAAAAAAAAAGAAATTTCGATGAAAATATTAGGATATTATAAATATTTTAAACTATGATCCTAATTAGTATCCGTTCAGATTGGTAAAATCAGATAATACTTCTTTTGTTAAACA